AATGCAATCAGATTTTGCAGGTAGAAGCTCTTTGGACCCACCGTGAAATTTGGGATTAATTTTTGGCTAAGTAAGGGAATTGTGTAACGGGGGTTTCTCCCTGTCTTGCTGGAGGCTTAGGACTGTTCTGATTCTGTCAAAGTGATGCTGGAATGCTCTTTGAAACCAGGAGGCTTAGAAAGGCACAGGCAAGGCAGGATCATTTGCCCTCAGCACAAGGTCTGTCTTGAGCAGTGACTTGATGGTGGTAGGATGAGACAGAGCAGCGTGGGGTGAAAGCAAAATCCTGCCCCAAGGCTGCCCTCACGTTGGGCAGTGCCTGTGCCCTCTCCAAGGTGCAAAGTCCTGCAGGCTCCTCCCGCACGGCTCGGGGATCAGGGGCGGGAGCAGCAGCCGGGAGGGCTGGGGGTGCATCCCGGCACCAGCTACCAACGGATCCCACTCCACCTGGAAAGTGCGCGGTGAAAAGCTTCCAAACAGCAACACAGTAGTCCTGGTTTTAATTGAGGCTTTTTGGGTAGCAAAAAGAGGTGCGGAGGGAGCTGCTGGTCCTGCAAAGCCTCCTTGCATTTCCTGGGCAGCAGATGCAACCCGCTGCGGTGCCAGAGCGCGGTCACCGGCGCCTTAATCCGACAGCAGAGCCATAATCCCTCCCTTAGTCCCACAAGCCCCAAAAGCAGAGAACTGCCTGGATTTGCTGTTTGATGGGGCTTTCTCAGCGTTGGCTCAAATCTCAGTTTCCACCCATAGCCTCATTCCCCTGCACAGCCCTTTCCCACAGGAGTGCAGATGTTCCCAGGCTGCCAAGCAGACATGGCCCATGCTGGAAACCCTGCAGATGCTGCTTTGGCTCTTGGCACCCCCGGCTTTCAGGACACTCCCCCTAGCGTGGTGGCACTGCTGGGAACAGCATGGGCAGTGTGTGAGAGCTCAGAGTGGGGCCTTGGGGCTCCCCAGAGCATCACCAATGGGTGCCCATGGGGGAAGCTGGTGCCTGAGACACTGTGATGGCCCTGTCCTCCTTTCAGCAGCCTCCCCACTAGCAATCACTTGAAAACCAGCCTGAGAGCTTTGCAGACATGAACTGTAATGTCCAGCTCTAAACCCCAGCCCCTCAGGACAGCACCTGGAAGCCACCAGAAAGATTGTACAGGCACAATCAGCCCTGGAGAACACACCCTACCCTTCCCTTATAGCCTCATATTCTAGGAGATGTTTCTCCCTGGAATTAACTCCTATTTTTCAAATGCCAGCAAAGAGACTTTTGCTAAAAAACAGTGGGAAGATTTCAGCTGTGCACTGATTTGTACTCCCCATCCCTGGGTTTAGCCCCAGGGCCCCTCCCCATTGGCAGTGATGGGCTGCACCTGGGGATCTGGGCCCACCCCACTGACCCACACATAAATGGGGCCAGTTTGGCCACCCCAGCCTCTCCTGGAGGTGCTGCTGTGCAGGCTTGGGAGGAGGTATCTGAGCAGAAATTTTGATTTAGCACTGAATTCTGTCTTTAACTTCTCAGGGGCAGCTTTGACTTTGCTTGTAGGGTGTGAGAACTGAGCACATGTTCTTTTATCCTTCCCCCTCTCCCTGTTGCTCTGCTGCTCATTTACTCTTTCATTAGGGATCATCTTCTTGTCATTTGTGTGGATATGTTGGCTTTTTTTCTAAGGGGTGGATGCTAGGCATCAGGAATCATGTGTTAAACGTATGGTGGCAATTAGCCCAGCTCTGAACCCTGATGGCACGTCTGTGTCTGCAATTAGTGATTTGCTCTATCTGTATGAGGCTTCTATCTTCCTTCCTTCTGGGGCTGGAAAAGACACAACTTGGATCTCTGAGGAAAAAATAGCAGGAAAGTGTGAAAGGTATGGCTTGGAGCCTGACTGCCCCTTGCTGTGGGGCTGCTCTCAGGATAGTGTCTTTGGTTCATTGTGGACTCTGCACCTGGATTTACATGAGTGTGGCTCAGGGCATGTCTTGATATGGTGCAGGGCCTATGGGGACAGATCCTGGCCCTGCTAGTACCTCTGTTCATACACTTTATGGCGTGTTTCATGCACCTGGCCCTTTATTGGGAAATTAGTTTGCCTCATTCAATGTTTTATAACAAGCTTATTTACTTGTGCCTTTGGTGCTCTGTAAAATACCTCAAGTTGTTTTAGTGAGATGGGAAAATGGGAGTAACATTATTATTTCATGGGGAAGATGTCAGGACAGGTAGAGGGAAGGTGGTTGTGGGACATCTTGTGCTTCAGGGAAACCCACTACTCCACCAGCATCTTGTAGTGATGTTATAGGTGTCAGCCCTGGTAGAGCTGACACCATGGTGGGGATAAAGCTGCTCTACTAAACCCCCTGGTCTTGCTCTGCTTTCCTTCTCTTCCATATAAATTCACCTACCCTAAACCCCCTGCTTTGCTCTGAGCTAATATGATTTTGAGGGAGGAGTTTTGCTGTCACCCAGCTGCTTACTGAGCTGCAGCTGATTGCTAATTAAGAGCTTCCTCCTGGTGGGGGGAACAGAGAGGAAAAATTAGGGGGAGGGGGACAGGGACACAGCATTTCTAAATCCAAATACATTAAACTGTTTAATTCTGTTGACTCAGGGCTGCCTTGCCCTGAATGGGAATTAATCCACAGCAAACCAAAATTAAAAAGCACAATACAAAATGCTTAGCAAGGCAGTGCCAGGGTTTAGAGCAACCCATTAGCTTGCTTGAACGTACCCAGTAAATTTTCATTTGTCAATAACACTTAGAGCCTACAGCTTATTTACAGCCTGTTCAATATTAGCAAAACCCCTCAGAGTGCCTCATTTGTATTTATCTGCCACAGCCTCTTTCCTTTTTGGGGACTTTTCCTAACCCCTTGCTTTGCACTAACTGCTCTCTTGTGTCTGGCTCTGCAAGGGTGAGGACATGCCACCTCCACGAGCAAAGGTAACACAGGGTTACCCCTTCCCATCCCACTTCTCTCCTGCGTGGGAGACCACCCTGTGCCACAGCCCAGCTGAGCTGGAGCAGCCAGGCCTCTCCATCTGTTCCCAAATCAGCTCCCGCGGGATGAGCCCTGGCAAGGACAGCATCTAACAGGATTTCCCCCAAAAGCTGCTTGAATGCTGTTGGACAGATAATGAAGCCTGGCTGGCCCTAAGGATTTCTCCAAGGAAGGGAGTTTATTCTCAGGCACAGACATAAATGGGTGGTTTAATCTCCTTGCCCCAGCTCGTGTCCAGTTGAGGTTTAGTCAAATACTTCAGCTCCTGGAGATGCAGCTCCTCACAGTGGAGACTGGTCATGGGTGGGATTTGTCCCTCTGCAGGTAGCACAGGATGGGGACAGACCTTTCCCAGCTTCCTGCCACTTCCCTGTTGCATTAGCACTACTCCAAGGCAGAAGTACAAGCAATTGCAAAGGAAATATCGGCCAGTGCAGCATCAGGAGGGCTGGGGAGGAGATGTGGGACAGAGTGGGCAACAGCCTGACTCAGGTGTAAAGCTCAGTGAGGGAAATCCCTTTTCTTAACTGCAAAGATGGCCCAAGTGGGACTGCAAACTTCACACATGGCATCTACTAGAGCCCAGGAGGTGCTGCAGAACCTGCTAACCAGCAGCTGGGGCTCCGCCACTCACCGTGGCCCCTTGTACCACATGAGCCCAAGCAGGGGCAGTGAGCAAGGCCTGCAGCCCAGGCTCTCTGCCACACACCTGTGTGTCTGGGCAGTGGGAATTATCTGTAGGCTTTATAAGGACGGATACAGGAGGCAATTGCAAAATGAAGGGTCACTGGCTTTTCTCCCAGCATTGGTCAGGGTTTGCTGCTGAGATCCCATACGCTACAAACAGCCCAGCAGCACCATGTGGAAAAAAACCCCATTTTTTCCATCCCAAAGAGTAAAACCCCTGTTACTTGCCTGCAGCTGTCTGCATGTAGCCAGCCAGGGTGCAGACGCGCCTCTCGCAGGCTCCGCTGGGCAGCAGGAGGGCGAGCAGGGCCAGCAGGGAGCTCAGGGCCAGCAGGACGCAGCCACCCCACAGGGTTACCCCTTCCCATCCCACTTCTCTCCTGCGTGGGAGACCACCCTGTGCCACAGCCCAGCTGAGCTGGAGCAGCCAGGCCTCTCCATCTGTTCCCAAATCAGCTCCCGCGGGATGAGCCCTGGCAAGGACAGCATCTAACAGGATTTCCCCCAAAAGCTGCTTGAATGCTGTTGGACAGATAATGAAGCCTGGCTGGCCCTAAGGATTTCTCCAAGGAAGGGAGTTTATTCTCAGGCACAGACATAAATGGGTGGTTTAATCTCCTTGCCCCAGCTCGTGTCCAGTTGAGGTTTAGTCAAATACTTCAGCTCCTGGAGATGCAGCTCCTCACAGTGGAGACTGGTCATGGGTGGGATTTGTCCCTCTGCAGGTAGCACAGGATGGGGACAGACCTTTCCCAGCTTCCTGCCACTTCCCTGTTGCATTAGCACTACTCCAAGGCAGAAGTACAAGCAATTGCAAAGGAAATATCGGCCAGTGCAGCATCAGGAGGGCTGGGGAGGAGATGTGGGACAGAGTGGGCAACAGCCTGACTCAGGTGTAAAGCTCAGTGAGGGAAATCCCTTTTCTTAACTGCAAAGATGGCCCAAGTGGGACTGCAAACTTCACACATGGCATCTACTAGAGCCCAGGAGGTGCTGCAGAACCTGCTAACCAGCAGCTGGGGCTCCGCCACTCACCGTGGCCCCTTGTACCACATGAGCCCAAGCAGGGGCAGTGAGCAAGGCCTGCAGCCCAGGCTCTCTGCCACACACCTGTGTGTCTGGGCAGTGGGAATTATCTGTAGGCTTTATAAGGACGGATACAGGAGGCAATTGCAAAATGAAGGGTCACTGGCTTTTCTCCCAGCATTGGTCAGGGTTTGCTGCTGAGATCCCATACGCTACAAACAGCCCAGCAGCACCATGTGGAAAAAAACCCCATTTTTTCCATCCCAAAGAGTAAAACCCCTGTTACTTGCCTGCAGCTGTCTGCATGTAGCCAGCCAGGGTGCAGACGCGCCTCTCGCAGGCTCCGCTGGGCAGCAGGAGGGCGAGCAGGGCCAGCAGGGAGCTCAGGGCCAGCAGGACGCAGCCACCCGCGCACAGCACCGCGCTCGTCTGGAAGGACAGGCAGGATGTCAGCCCGGTGAGACCCCACCACACCTCCCCACCAGCTTCCCCTCCTGACGTGAGAAGCGGGGGCAGCTTCTCCCACCCTGTCCCCTCCACCTTCTGTTGCTTAAATTCCCCGTTAAGTCTTGAGCCCACGGTTCACCCGCTCCCAGGGGTTATGAGTATTCGGGCTCTGGTGATGACAGCAAATGTTTGACATGCACAAGGGGCTGTGTCACTAATGCAAGTGCCATTAGGTGCCTGTGACGCGTGTCGGTGTCTCCACTGAGAGCTGAAATGTATCTCGTGATGGTGCCCACCCCTGCAAGCTGGGCAATTAGAAGGTATTTTGCCAACAAAACCGCTGCTGCAGAGGCTTCACTGCAGCCAGACTGCTCCCAGCCCACCTCCAGCACCTCTGCAGCAGCCATGGCTTTGATTTAGCCTCTTTTCCAACAAAACTGGGTCATTTGGGGCTGTTATCCAACCCCAGGTTGGTGCAGGATGGTGCTCTGGGATGTCAGAGGCTGCAGGATGCCCAGTGGGCAGCACGTTCCCCAGGGGCTGGCACAGCACAGGGGGGCAGTGGAAGGGGAGGCCAGCACACAGCAGCCTGTCCTTGTGCCATCACCTGCCTGTGGTGGTGGAAGCAGTTTTGCTATTTAAGATTCTGGCAGTAAGACACAAACTGCATCAACATCTAAACTGGGAAGAGCACTGATTGATGGCAAAATAGCTTATCCTTGGGTATGAGCATCTCAACTGTTGCTGTTTCTATCCCCACAGCAGGTGACATTTCCACCTCTGCCAATGGGATGGCAAAGGCAGCAAGGACAAGTGCCAGCCCAGCATGGTGTGACAAGGGACAGTGAGGGTACCCACTATGGATGCCTCCTTCTCCTCCAGCACCCAGCTCATGGAAGCCTTCAAAGCAGCACAAGGGCACCTGGGTCCCAGCATGTCAGCAGCCACTTTGAGTCCTGTAATTTCACTGCAAATTCCACCCAAGGGTCCTGGCTTTGGTGAGTCACCCTGCAGCAAAGTCAGCCTCTTGGCTCCCTGGAGCAGTGCAGCTGTAGGACAGGTCTTGTCCCCATTTTCCTAATGCACCTTATTTTCATAACCTATGCAGGAGCTGCCTGAAGGAACTCAGATCCCACCTCCACCTTCTCTTGTCCAGCCCTCTCACCCTGTTGAGATGTTGTGGTTAGAAATGAAAAAAATTACTTTATTTTTTTACTTTTCTGCCTGTATTTGAGCTTTTGGACAACAATGGTAACTATAGGAACAAACCCAATACGTTTCCATTTGCTCTCCCCCACCAAACAGGTTACAAATTGTGAGTAAATAATCTGCTAAATACAAGTTATGCTGCAGGACCCACAGGCAGGCTGGAGGGGAGAAAGAAGAATGGGATTTGTGATGGTCCAAGCAGCTAAAACCCTGCTGACCCTCCAGCCCCAGCAGTGCTGCCTCAGGGGTCTGCAGTGCCCTACATCTACCTGTGTTGTTTCCTG